ATTTAAATTAAATGGGTAAAAAATTAAAAATTTACATGAAAATTTATTAAAACTTAATTAAAAAATAATATTTATTACATCATCAAAGAATTAAAACTTAAAAAAAAAGTATATGATATTTAAATTACAAGCACATTTAAATTCTCATGAAAGTATATTAATATATAAATAAAGAAAGTAAACAGTTGCATCGCATGGGATGAAAATCATATAATTATATATTAATGTTTAAATAAACTATTAGAGTTAATCTAGTGACAGTTGAATTGTATGAACAAACTTTCAAATTCAAATGCTAGTGTTTTTATTGTAATTCTCAAGAATAAAGTAATATTAATACCTAAATTATGTAAAAATATGACATTTTATTTATTAAATTATTTTTAAGTTTATATTTTAACCTGAGTAATTATAAATAAAATAATATATTGATAAATTAAATCATGGAAAATATATTTTTAATAGAGAAAAATTGTTCAATATTTTTCATATTTATAAATTATATAATGAGATTTTTCCAAACCTTGCCCCGGTTAAGTGGATTGCTGTGAGGCCAATCAAGTATCTTTCAGGGTCCTTTGGGAGTGATGGAATCACTAACATTCTTCATGCTAAAATTATGGTGTTATGTTTTGGCCTTTTAAGGAAGGACACATACAGTTGATTTAGTGCATGCAAAAGTGTCTCCAAACCATCATATGTAAATGAGATAACTTTAATTAATGAAAAATTGTACACAATTTTTTAATTAATGACATAATCACTAGTGAAAAATCAGTCTTTTACGTTACCTCTTTGTCGTCGGACATACCAAAAATCGACGTAAAAAAGATGCGGTGGTATTTTTGTAATTTTTGTGAACTTTTTTACGTCGAACATAAAGGAGTCCAACGTAAAATGTAAAATCTACGTCGGACATAAGATACGTCCAACGTAGATTTTACATTTTACGTCGGACCCCTTTATGTCCGACGTAAAAAAGTCTATTAATCTTCCCGCGCGTGTCAGTATTTGAAAACAAGAGACATGTGAAACGGTGTGAGAGAAAGAAGAAGCTCAACCGCTTAGGTCGGATTTGTTTTCTGCCACTTTTCACTTTCCTTCTTTGGTTTCGGTTTCATCAGAAGTAACACACCAACACCAAAATTTCTTGCTTTTTTACTTTGATATATTTAGTTTTATGTTTATTTAGTTTCTTTCAATTTTGTACTATGCTTTCAGCTATGATTATTCAGGATATGGAGCATCTACAGGTAAGGTATGTAACTCGCCTGATTCTTAAGTTTGTAAGTTTGTTTCGCCAGAGAATTTTGATTTTTCATCTGGAACGACCTATTTTGCAAGCAGAACGGCCCGTGCTGCAAGCAGAACGGCCCGTGCTGCAAGCAGAACGGCCCGTGCTGCAAGTAGAACGGCCTGTGCTGCAAGCAGAACAACCCGTTCTGCTTGCACTTGTTATGTTTTTTTTTGTTTACAACTTTTTTACGTCGGATCTTGGCAATATCTGACTTAAATTTACGTCGAATTTTACAACTGACATAAATTTACGTCTCCTGCTTTAACATTGGACTTTTTTCTAACGTAAAAAGCTTAAAATAACCGACGTAAATTACCTCTTTTGTACTAGTGAATGTAATATTTTTTAAATAATTAAACAATTAATGGAGGTTTGAGTAATGTGTAAATGACTTAATTAATATACTATTTTTTTAAACAATTCAAGAAATTTGTGTAGGGATGCAGAAAGTATATATACAATTTCGCAAAACTTTAATAGTTATAAATGTAATTTATACTTAATTAAAAGCCTCATGTTACGGGAACTGTCACTACAAGAAATTCATTAAATAGAGACTAATTTAGAGACCAAATTTATATAGTTACTTTAGCAACTTATTTAAATATTATTTTAGAGATTGATTATAGTTGGTCCCTAATTCAATCTCTATTTTCATTAATATTTTTTATGTAATTAGAGACCAAACTTTTAGTAGCTAATAGTTTAAAAATATTATTTATTTAATTAGATACAAATTATTTAGTCTCTAATTAAAATATAATCTGAGACAAAATTTTTGATCACTATTAAAACACTTTAGAAACCAATACTTTAGTCTAAATGATTTTATTATTGACTTTGCGTTGTTTCTATAAAAATGATTTGACCAGCGAGGATTTGAATTTAGATTTATGGCTGAAAAATGGGTCACTAATTCAATTATTTTAAAATTTGGTCACTAAAATAATTTATTTAGAATCGATCATTATAACCGTAATTAAATTGATTATTACAAAATAAGTTGCTAAGTTTGTCGTTAAAAAATAGGTTATTAAATTAGTTGTTATCAAAATTGGTATCTAAATTGGTTACTATAATATTGGTAATTAAATTAGTCAATGAGACAATGAGATGGTCATTAAAAATTGGTCAATAAATTGGTCGTTGTAAAATAAGTTACTAAGTTGGTCATTATAAAATTAGTCACAGAATCGGTCATAAAAAATTGGTCATTAAATTAGTTTTTAAATCAGACTCTAGATTGGTAGCTAAAATTAGCAACCAGTGGTTTAGCTACTTTAAAAAATTGGTATCTAATTCAGCCACTTATTGGTTTAGTAACTGATTTTGTTAATTTGGAGACTGAAAATTTAATCTCTAAAGATAAGTTTTCTTGTAGTGTGTGGTGTGTTTGGATTCTAGTATTGAAATCTTAGTGTTCATTAGAAGAAAATTGATGGAAGTAACTCATTATAGGCTTATAGCAATTAATAAATTAAATTTAAAAAGTGGAGCCAAAATATTTTGTTTACAATTATATCATCTAACTTAATTTTAAACTGTTTAACACCTAAGTTTAAACTTTTTCAATAATAATTTTACAATCGATTATATAGATCTTCAAGTGATTGAATGGACTCTCACCTTACCATCTCAATTGTATACAAGTGGTTTATGGAAAGATCTAGATGGGTTATAAATATTATTAAAAAAAATCTCTTTCCAGAAAAAATCTCTTTCCAGCCCAAAAAGCTACCTGTTGGTATGGAACAAAATTCGCACAATTTCAAGACTATTATCACTATCTAAATTTTACATTTATTATATGCTTCTTTCACTTACTTTATTTAATAACTCATATTTTATATTAAATTTTAATAATTTAATTATTAAATTAAAAGTTTTTAATATATAGATAGAATTTACAAATTTAAAAAAAAAATTAAAAAATTGATTGATATTTCATTTCATTAGTTTAAATTGATAGATAATTATAAAAATATGTTATATGTTAATTTAAATCTATATAATAAAATATCACATAATTTTTAATTTTTAAAAAAATTGTAATTTTATCTATATATTAGGAACTCTTAATTTAATAATTAGATTATTGAAATCTCATATAGAATATGATTTAAGTAGAGTAAGTCTACCATTACTCTTGGAATAAGTGAATCCCTCTTCATATATGTGAAAGGGATCCACTTATTCCAATAATAAGTTTAGCAAGTGGACCATTCTTCATATATATAAAGAGAGATCTACTTATTCTAAGAGTAAGTTTTGGTTCCAATCGTTAAATTAAAAATTATTAATACATAGATCAAGTCTATAAATTAATATAAATTTTGAAAAATATTTGATATTTCATTTTATTAATTTAAATTAACAAATAATCATACAAACATTTTATACATTGATTTGAATCTATATAACAAAGTATTATATAATTTTCAATTTTAAAAAAAAAAAATTACAAGTTTAATCTATGCATTAAAAAATTTTAATTCATGATTAGATTGTTAAAATTTAATATAAAATATAAGTTATTAAATGAAGTAAGTATACATTCTTCTATATATATATATATATATACACATTCGTACACACAAAATAATCATTAGGGTGTCATAGAACTTGTCTTAGTATCCACATTTAAAATAATTTCTACCTTCGACATCATATCCACATAGGATATTCATGCCTACACTCACAACTCACACTTTACTTATATACGAGATTAATAATAATAGGAAAAAACATTTAGTTTCCCTAAACTTTGCCTCTTGTATGAATAAAGACTACAAACTTTTATTTTATCTCAATTGATCTTTAAAGTAGCAAATAAACATCATAAAATTTGATTTTATTATAATTGATCTTTAAAATTTATTATCCTTTACAAATAAATACTGTGATTTCAATTTCATCTTAATTAATTTTCAAATTTTATTTCTTTTAAAACAATCTTTTATATTAATTAACATTAAACTACTAAGTTACTCATAAAGAAGAAATATTAATCATTTATTTATTTATTTTTAAACAAACTTATTTATTAGTTTTTGGTGCATATGTTAATTTTATGTTCATATCTCACTTTTTTATATATCAAATAAATATTTTTTTTGTTGTCTTTGGCATTCTCTTCTTTTTCTTTCTTTGTAATTAAACTCATATTTTTATTATATTTCTAAAATAATTGTAACAAAATGAATGATTAATATTTAAGATAAATTATCTCTAATTTGGTAATAAAATATTGTTCGTAAAAAATGATAAAATTTAAATAATAATTAGAATAAAATTAAAATTGACTATATTTATTAGTAAAAGAAGTAAAGTTTAAACAATAATTAAAACAAAATTAAGGTTTATCATGCTAAAGAACAACTTGGTGGATGCAGAATTGTTATATTCAAGCAGTTGACTTGATGGGAAGTGATTAACTTATCAAAAAAAACTTGATAAGAACTGAGAAGTGACAGAATATGTTGGAAATTAGAAATTCAATCACTGCAGAACAACTAGGAATACCTGGAATCAGCCTTCTTAAATTTAATTAACAAATGACCTTGGCGCAATTGACATTTACATTTGATTGTCCACACAAATTCAGATTTATCGACTCAAATTCAAAAAATAATAAAAAGTCAGTCTATAGTCATCCAGATGGAATAAAATTAAATGCAAGAAAAACAACGTTTCATCATATTTTGAAATTATGTTAATCATGTCTATGTGTAGAAAAAAAAGAATTTGACTAAGGCTTTTTGGCAACATTAATCTTTCATTAGCATATACATAATCCTATAAACATGGGAAAGTGTAAAGGACCAAGTTAACAACATACAGAATGAGTGAAAATTGCATATAATTAAGTTGTTGAGAACTTAACCAGTGTTCCTCATCCCTGCAGCAATACCATTTATGGTGATAAGCAAGGCATCTCTGGCTTTAAGGTTGTCATCATCACATCTTAGCCTCTTGAGTATCTCTACTTGCAACATATTCATGGGATTGAGAAAGGGAAGTCTACTCTCAATAAGCCTCCTTAGGCTCTTGTTATTCTCCTGAGGCTTCTCATGGCCACTAACCACTAGCACAAACTTGCCAGTTGTGATGAGCTCATTCCTCAGTTGAGTTCCAAGTTCTTGCCTCTGCTGTGAGACAAGAACTTCATCATAGTGCTTAGCAATAGGAATATCTGCTTTTCCCAAAACCATCTCAATCAAGTCTATTGTGCTTTGAAAGAAAGGCCACTCTTTGTACATGGCCTTTAGCTCATCACTTTGTCCTTTCTCAATAACACCTTGCAAGCCTGCTCCAACTCCAAGCCAGGCTGGAAGGACAAACCTGGTTTGAGTCCATGCAAACACCCACGGAATGGCACGAAGGTGGCCAATTCCGGTCGTGCTCTTTCGCCTTGTGGGGCGGCTGCCTATGTTGAGGAAGCCTAGCTCTGCTTGAGGTGTGGCTTCATGGAAGTAGGACAGGAATTCTGGATTTTCATATACTACATTGCGGTAACACTGGCAACTGATCTTTGAGATATCTTCCATGAGATTGCGCCATTTTTCTTCTCTTGGCGGGAGAGGTGGACGAAGGGTAGCAAGTAGCACAGCTGTTGTGTATATCTCAAGCTGTCTAACAGCTGTCTGTGGCAGGCCAAACTTGGCCTGCACCATCTCTCCTTGCTCAGTTGAACGAAGGGTTCCCTACAATGTATCATGTAACACATTGTGTCATTGGTTTCAGAACATTGCTTGTAATTCTGCTTTCAATGAAATGTCTGTGCAGATAGCAACTTAAACGGGAGAGTGGAGACTAAATGGGAACATGATCTAAACTATAGTTCATAGTCAAACAAATGTATAACTTGACTTTCAAGAAATGATAAATTTCACATGCTCTTCTAGGCTCAAGCATCGATTGGCTTAAACAACATTCAAACTTAACAATTTCACGGTCGATGACATTCAATAGTCAACAACAACTCATACCAATATGAACAAGAGACCAAGAATGCATAACAAGTTTCTGTTGGGGTTATTTTATTGGTACTTGTCTGAGGGGATATTTTATGAGAGTTATTTTTTATAATGTTATTACACAAGCATACTCTACAATGATGAGATATTGTCCACTTTGGGCCTTAACCCTCACGGTTTTGCTTTTGGTCATCACCCAAAAGAAATTTATTTCTTGTTTTATTTTATCAATGTAGGACTTGTTTATATCCCAACAATCATCCTCTCAAACAAGGGACCTAACCTTTATATATCACATTATATGTTATGAGTTATGAGGGGTTATGGGGTTATTGGTTGTCACCGAATCTAACCTGCGGCTCTGATACCAGAGATGGAATTATTTTTATGGTATTTGTCTAAGAGGAATATTTTATGAAAGTGTTATTTTTATAAGGTTATTACACAAATATATTTCACAATGATGAGATATTATCTGCTTTGGACCTTAGCCCTCACGGTTTTGCTTTTAGTCATTACTCAAAAGGTCTCTCGATCATTGAAGTATGTTTGTGCTATATAAATTGTTATTTCTTGTTTTATTTTATTGATATGAGACTTGTTTGTATCCTAACAATTTCTATGTTAACGTTTACCCTACCAACACTTCAATAGTCTAGACATTACATTTTCTTTTAAAATATGTTCTTAATTTCTATAAAATGAACGAATTTTGATGTTAGTCCCTGTAATTTTATTTTTTTTTCATCCTTAAAATTTTTAAATATTATTTTTAGTTCTTGTGAAATAAAAAAAAAAATAGTTTTGATTTCTAGAAATATTTTTCTTTGTTTATTTCTCTAAAATTCAAAGTCACTATTTTTGTTCCCTGTCACCGACACTACAATGTGTAGTGGAAGGCAGGTCAATTAAGAGGACTTTATGAAAAGTTGAACTCTGATCCACTCAAGGCTAGTTTGTCCATTTAGGTTTTGAATTATTAAGAGATGTAAAGGAATTGAAACCATGGTATCCAAACAAGGTGTGACCATGCCAAACTGGGCACCAAGCAGTTCTGTCATAGCCTCATAGGTCTTAAGTTGGTATGGTACTGAAGGGTGTTAGTGTTTTTCAAAGCAACGTGACCCCAGTAAGTGTCAAGTGTCAACCCATGACGGTGTTAAAATTTGATTACTATTAGTGTCAACTCAATAAGGTGTTACTGTTAAATTACTATTAGTGACAGGTAATAATTAAGGTTAAGATGCAAAACCCACCATCACAGAGCCGGGTGGTTGAGACTGAATAGCCAGATATGTTGGGCCACCACCACGGCCAATACTCCCTCCACGGCCATGGAAGAGAGTAACCTTAATACCATATTCCTTGCATGCAGCCACAACATCCTCCTGAGCTTTGTAGAGTTCCCAAGCAGCAGTAAAGCGCCCAGCATCTTTACCAGAATCAGAATACCCAACCATAACCTGCATATAGAAGAAATATATAATATATATAATACCACTGCAACAATTCCCATCACAGCTACAACATAAATGAACTGAATCTATAACTAAAAAGTACCTCTTGATGCCCATTATGGTTTTTAATGACGTGTTGGCGGTACCAATCTATTGACAAAAGCTTTCTGATAACTGAACCAGCTCCTCTCAGGTCCTTCACAGTTTCAAATAGAGGAACCACCCGCAACCTATGTTTGACACGTCTGTTGTTAAAACTCAAACAGTCTAATGAAACAACAGCAATATTTGTTTTGTTGGGAGATCTTTGGACCAAATATCTAGCAAATTACTACAAACTTTTCATAGAGAAATCATAAAACTTTTCCTAGCACCCTTTCCTTTTGACCTTGTAACAAATAAAGCAAAACAAGATCAGGCAAGTCCTGCCATTCATTTTCCAAACATTGACAAGAAAATTGACCATAAGCTTCTTGGGCTTGTTAAACACACTAGAATGTAAAATTTACGTGCATGAATGTCTGTGTATAGATATCATGTAATATACACGATTCACACTTTATTCTAACCTTTTGCTAAAAGAAGAGTTTCACTTTAATGCTCTCTCATCATAAAGATTTTTACACTTTTAACCAATTAGAAATTGTCCTAGATGTGACTTTTAAAATAACTATTACTAAATTCAACAACATTCAATTATATGTTAGTCGATGGTTGGATAACAATATAAAAATCTTTAGGTTGTTTTGTCTGTGTATTCTAATTAACTTCTACTTAAATTGATAAATAAGTTACACATACATGAACGTTGTATTTCCATACTTACGTTCCACCAGGACATGCTCTTCCTAACTCCCCACTAACAGCAAGTCGTGCATCCTTCTGCAAAAGCTCTACTGCAAGAACATCACTTGCCTGATAATCAAGTCAAATCCAAATCGTTAGTACCAATGCTATTGCTAATAACAACATTTTTAAAACACTATTATATCCTAGTCCTTAGATTTTTTGTTTCAAAGTTGTACCCTCGTAAGTTTAAATTGCCAAGAAAATATTAGACAACTAAATTTATAATGTAGCAAAACTGATTGTTTTTTGGGGCAAAATCAAACATTAAGAAAAAAGGGAAGAAAAAGAAGACACTGATTTTTTTTTGGAAGTTTAGCATCTGAATCGATATTGCACAAACTGTTTCAATAATTCAGTTATATAAACTTTGCAGGGACAATTTGTAACAAAGTAGTTAATCATACATTTGAGGCCATAGAGATCACATAGGCACCAAATGAATCACTCCCTAGCTCAGCCGCAGTTCGGAACGTATCCAACACTTCTCTAACATCTGGAGAAACCTAAAAAGAATAGATTAAGATGCCACTTAGATACAGAAACTCGGGAGCATGGAATAGAGAAAAAAAAATTAAATTGTACATATCATGTCAACAACTATATTTTCAAAATTGCAATTGGATTATTAAGATCTAAATTTTAAACTTTAGAAACTCCCATCAAACCAAAGCCTCAATTAGTTAGATACTTGGTTACTTTTAGACAAGATGGTTAATTATGAAATGGTTGTCATTGGTTACAATATCATGAAGGAGGAGTGTTGGAGTGCCCTGCTTACACATTTGCAGTTGCATGTTCTGTTCGATATCTTGACAAGAGGTATGGGCTTCAATGAAATTTAGGAAAAGTCATATGGTTAATCGAAATAGCTGATGGTTGTAATATTAGCTGATATGGGCAGTTAGAGAAGGAGTGTTAGTCCATATTTTGGGGAAATTTGTATCAGAGTTTGAATTGACCAATAGCAGGCTTTGAAATTACTTGAAGTGTAGTAGTAGATATGGTTTACAGGAAAAACGAACTTCAGAGTTCAAGAGTTTAGCATCAAAATAATCATCCTCTTCCACTTTAAACCTAAAATGACCATAAAGCATGTTATTGATAAGATAGAACCAATAAAAATTGCAGACTCAAGTAATACAAAATAAACTCTCAAGTCTCAAACTTCAATCAATAGAATAGCTTTAAATTTTTAAATATCAACTTTCCTTTTCTAAAAGTAAAATGTTTTACTATCCTATACTGGATAAAGAGCTTGTAAAGCTTGTAAAGGTATCATTTGGTTCAACATTCTAACCATCTCACCTCTATACTAACTGGAACCAGTGGCCTCTTCCCTTTCAACTCTTTAGTTAAGAAGTCCAGTTTCTTTTCTTCATCCCATTCACTGTATTTACCAATATCCAAATACCTTGTAATTGCATCTAGTGTTTCAGCATGTCTGCCAGATTCCTGTCACACTGCTAGTTTCAGGCCACAACTAAATATCCAAACAATAATGAGCAAAAAAATTTGAACATACTTGACGCAAATCAAGCTTCATTAACACCATGCCAAAGGTAGCAACTCTTCGAATTATATCAGCAAGTCGACCATCAGCTAGCACCCCAGATCCACATGATTGCTGGAGAAATGTAGAGTTAAATAATAATTTTTGGACAACCACCTTAGAGGGAAAAGAAAGTTGGAAACAATGAGTACCAGAGATTCATAACAAAGAAGCAGAGGTTCCAAAAGTTGCTCTGTTGTTTCATAATAATCCATAGGATTATGCTCACATGGACCATCCTCAATAAGAAGCTCCAACCATCTACGAGTTTTAACAAGCTAAACACATGAAAAAAATATATGGATGAAGTTACTATCTTATACTAGATTGACAAATTCAGATTACCAGTTAATGAGACGTGAATTTGCCTTAATGGCACCCCAGGTACAAATTCTCCGTGGATTGGACAAATATTCAAATCAAAACTGGAAAAGATATTTTTCTAACAATGCACAAAATGACATGCAAATAAGCTTGATCTCTAAATAAGTAAATTTAACTGTCTTTAACCAAAAAGCAATATGATTTTCATCATATCCAGTGTAGCTCCTAATAATGCATATAAATTAATGATCCATCCAAGATGAGTCTGCAATCTGTCATTCTATATATAGACATTTATTTGGAAATTGAATTTCAAATCCGCAATGTCAACACTCAAGTTAAAAAGTCCTTCACACTTTAGCTAGAAGTAATACAAAAAGTATAAATATATGCTGAAATCAATCTTGTATAGTTTTGTTTGCCACAACATTTTCTGCATTAATATCATTCCTCAATGGTTCTGCTCACTTGTTTTCATAACCACCTGTCTTTTTATCTAAAGGAAAAATAAAGGCAACAACGTGAATAAATATAAAAGACAAGAATAATGGACAATGGTGTTAGGTACTGTGAGAATTTGAATTCTCTATCTTTCAAAATCATTTTCCATGCAACTGCACTTCTAAACTAAAATGTCTTTCGACCAACCCAAACAAAAAAACCATAAAAAAAGTTACGCAAGATCATTTATTTCATTTTCAAACTACAGTCCGCTGAGTTTCATTTAAAGCCATGCTAGGTTATAAAGCTTAATAACTCCTAGGAAACAAGCAACATATTCTTGTAGAAAATTCGACAGCAGAAATTGAACAATTGTGTCCATGCAACCAATTTTGATGTAACACTGAAGTATATCTGAAGTAATACCTTATCTTTTACATGTCCAAGAACAACTCTATAAGGAGCAATTCCAGGAAACTGAGGGAGCTTTGGCTCCAAAAGCTTCTGAAAACTGGTTCTTCCTATCTGGGATTCTGCAAACAATTTCCTCTGAGCATGAAGTTGACTAGAGTTGAAAGAAGGAGAGCGTGTCATTGAAGCTAATGAAGTAGCACTGGAACTTGGTGAAATTGGTATTGATGAACGAACATTGCGATTGCCACTATTGCTCTCAGTTGAACTTGAAATCCCACCATCCTATCAGCGAATATATGTACACGTGTATTATCTAGGATTAAATGGAAAATTCAGAAAGCTACTGAATTGATCTACCTTGTGATTGGGTTTCTTTTGATCAGCTCCTGGCATGAGTCTGGGATGCTCAGATCCACCCTTTTCTACATGAAATAAAACATTCAAACAAGAACTCTGTACTAATACATAATATGTTTATAACATGTACTTCTTGATTGGTTCAGAAATTTATATATGTCAACATGAATAAAAATGCAATTTATTCTTCATGCGTGACAGCATGAACTGAGAAGTTATTTTTTAGGATTGGAGGGATTCCAATTCGTTTATTCATGCCATTAGCAAGAGGCACCATTCCTTAATTAAACATTATTAGTTAGAAGTCACATGTGACATGTAAATACTATTGTGTGGTTCTAGAAGAAAAAAACATGACATTAAAAAACACAATTTGCAAACAAAAAACTAGACAACAACTTTGAGGAAAATTATATGTACCAGCACAAGAGGGTAAATGAGCTCCAGATGGAAGTTTAGTTGGAAATGGTAAAGCTTGTTGATTAGGACTTTTGAATTGACTTCTACTCACAGATTCATTCCAATGTTCACGGCGATCCTCCTCATTGTTAGTTTCTAAAGATAAAGTGATCACCAACTCTTAAAATTGGATTGAAAGAGTATCAAACATATCTTTGAGGATATAAAAGTGACACACCATAATTTAGAACAATTCATGAAGTAACATATGCAGTTAATTATGTTAAGACATTCATAAATAGAACAATAAATAGATGACCATTTCACTTGTACTGCATCCTCAAATATCATATCATACCTATGTTACAGTCTGATTCATTACAAAGTTTAAAATATTTTCTACAAACAATTGTCATCCTAAAAGAAAACTTGCCCCTTCAAAAAGCAGATTTTGTTGCCTTCTTGAAAAAAAAATTTCTTGGGAAACATATAAAATGACCTCAAATATTTTACCACACATATGCAACTATAGTCAACCTCGTGTCATTCAATTGGATGTGATTTGAGAGTGGAGTGTAGTAAATGTTAACAGGTTGATGTCTTTGGAAACAAGAGAAAAGTAGAAGGCTAAAACACACAGTCACGTACTATCTACTGCTTTTAGGTGTTTCAATTTGCCTGTATACATGAACCAGTGTTACTTTCTGACAAACCATATCCAGCAGTCACGTGATATAGAAACAAAGATGATTGCTATTCTTGTTAGCATTTGGAAATACACAAAACTAAACAGACAAACCTTCTAGAATTTCATGTGCTAGTCTTAACAGCTTATCGCTACACCGGTTCATGGATAACTCAAATCTCATGCTATCCACTTCCCGAACATAGAGGTCAATTGCCATCCATCTTGATAGAAGTGAAACATCTTTTGTGACCTGAAGAACAAAAGGAAAACCAATTACACAATCATTGTTAGATTCCAACTTAAGACCAATTGGCTATAAGTGAAGTTGCCCAATAGATACATAAGCTGCATCCGGAGAATTGAGGCATGTGATGTGAGACTTCACAAAAGTTTGAATTCCAGGATCAAATGAAAAACACAAAAATATTCTGCAAAAAATCCCTCTCCTAATAAGAGAGAAAAATTCTGGTAATTATGGTAAGTAAGATATTGTCCATTTTGAATTTATACTCTCATAATTTTATTTTTAGTCATCACCCAAAAGACCTCTTTCCAATGGAGTATGTGTATGCTTTATATACATTTATTTCTCCTCTTATTTTAATGATGTAAACTTTATTTATATCCCTACACAAAACACATCCTTCAACTATAGCATTGACGATAACAACTATCAAGCTTTATCCCACACTTGATGGAGTAAAAACATGGATCAATTATTCTCTATCAAAAACTAAAATTTCTATTAAAAAAATTCTGAAATATTTTCTATAAAAACCATTTTGTTGTTCTTTTCTAAAGAATAATAAGAACAATAGTGATGCTAGCTTCATGGATGACACCATGTCATTGGGTTCGGTTAAAACCCAAATTCTGAGAGTGTTCACGCCTAAAAACACATTCAACATAATTTTATATTGGCTAATAACAACCTAAAACAGCCCACCTCTTTTTTTATCCTGGCCTGAGACAATATAAAATTTGACTAGAAAGTACAACATTGGCAAAGATCCAAGAAAATACTTCACATGTTAAAATCTCAGCCATTTTTGTCTTTAGTTTTCCCAATTTAATCATCATTAAACGTGCACTTTTCATAATGACAAGCATACTGGACATCTTTAGGTTGTCAATAATATAATGGTATAACAGATTCAAATATGTTTCCACTACTTGTAAACTCCTCACCTGTTGAGAAAGACTCATTGGTTATTGAGAAAATGAAATTGCATAGTAAAAGTACAGGCAGCATGAATGGATATTTGAAATTTTGCTACCTTTGCTGTCACATTTGGGTTTCCGTCTCTATCACCTCCCATCCAAGATCCAAACTTAATGGGAGTGCAAGTCAATGGAAGTGGTTTTCCCGTGTGCTGCAAGGAAGGGTAAGTTGTATTGAAAATGTTTTAGGCAAAGAATGTACAAGTTAATTGGCACAAATTAAAGATTAGACCTTCTTTAAAGCGCTGCTAACTCGACGTAAATAATGAGGAACAGCTTTCCAGAGTGATTGCTCCACAATATTCAATCCTGGGAGAATTGAAAAAAATAAACCAAGGGGTTCTTCCACTTCTTTTTTCTCAACAGTGAATCAAATCATGCAAGAGCTAACATATAAAATGTCAAGGACTGTATCTCCTAAAAGATTAAGATATTAGGTGTTCATGTAAAAGCCTTTTGGGTACAAGAGGGACAAAACTCTTGAGAACTTGGTCAAAACGGCCATAGAACATTGTCATTGAACAACCAAGAAAACTTAAGCTAAGAGGCAGATTGTTATAAAAGGTTTAATTTTTAGGAGTATCTCCAACAATGCAAACATGGAGTGGCTTAACTCACTTTTGGTGAGTCGTACAATGCCACATGGGATTTAAGGACTTTAACAAGTTTTTTCATCACTGGAGCAATCCTTAAGAACTGGTTCATTAAGTTTGAAAACACCATAAGCAACTTTTTTTAGAGATGCTCTAACATATAATACTATTTACTCAAGCAACTTACCAGCCCTGGCTTCATCAACTGGTGTGGGTTTCTCGCGCCTAAGCTCATCTGTCTGCCATATTGAAGTTATCTCTCTTACCTAAAAAACCCAATATGATTTATGAGAAAAGAAGAAAGTGTGCTAGGAAAAGAAATTCCACGACCCTTTTCACATAAAGATATGATATACCGCCCTAAATCATAGGTGCATTTTTATCTGTGGGGTACAAACACTGGTAGTTAAGTAAACCGGTAATACGATTCAAGAACATACCAGATCTTCGATAACCATATCTCGATCTTCAGGGCCAAGATCAGGTCGATCATTATAATCTAAAAGATGCTGCATGAAGGTGAAAAAGTAGTAAGAGACAAAACACTTGCAGAATATTTGACATTATATCATAAAGGTCAAGGCTGAAACCTACAATAATTTTACTTAAAAAAAGATAAAATAAAAAAAAAATTACAGCAATTTTAATGTGTTTGTATTGCAAGGTACGGCGATTAATTTGAGTCGGATGAGCTGTGAGAACGATTTCCACCTCCTGTAGCAACAAAAATGACATTGGATTTTGAATAATAGAAATTAGAACCAGATTATGCTGCAACCACTCACAATAAGCACATAATGTTTCACTAAATCAACAAGACAACAAGTAATCTCAGCTTACGTAGTGCATGGATATTGAAAATTCATATTTACTTGTTGTCATCTATACTTCTTAGACTATGCAGATTAAAAATACATAAGGAACAAAACAACATACCTGCTTGCAAACTGTGCTATAAAGATCATCAGGAGAAACACCAGCTTGCAACAACTGGTTAAAGATATCATCGCAAGATTTTGCAACATAAGCCAAATTTCCTCCTTTACGAACCCTACACAAACATAACATGTTCAAGACTATTCTACTGAAGAAATCATGTATAGAATAGTATTCGGGGGAATGTTGGTTGTTATTAGCCTACGGTTCAACTTATTCTAGAGTATTTTTGCTGAGAGCTGAACCAAAATTGCATTATCAATGTGGAAGAGGCAAAGAAGGATAAGACAAACTATGAACTAATAGAATAATAAGAGACCAATAGTTGGAGACCAGAATGAATACCTATGGTGGGTTTCAGCTATACCCATCAAAGTAAGATGATGGCTAAAGGCACGAGCAAGTGTTAGAGCTTCTTCTAGTGTCATCTTGGACAACTCTGAAGCCAATTGTTTTTCCAGTAGCTCAGCCATGTCCTCAATCCCTGCCTGTCTCATATTACAAGCACTCTAGAGACAAAAAGGAAAAAAAAAAGAATGATAAGGAATTTTCAATTCCTAGATTGTTGGCGAAAGTAAAGATTTTTACACACTCAACGAGTTAGAAATTTAGGTATAACTTTTACGGTAATTATTATAAAAAAAAAAAAAAAAAAGTCAGTATCCAATTATAGGACGATTCGTAATCGGATGATAGAGTAAATAGTCTTTGCACTTTTTGTAAGTGTTGCAGCTCGTTAGGTAACTGAGACCAATTAAATTTCCAAATTTAACGTTTAATGTTGAAGATTTCATAACTTGATGAACCCAAACACTACTTAAAATAATATGCAATCAAATTTCCACCATAAAAGGTTTAGTCTAGTCATGATTTGAGTCTTTTCTTATAATATTAACCCCACATGCATGCATTTACGAAACACTACATGCAAAATGCATATCATTTTTCAACCTCGATCCACTTTCTCCACAACCAAATAGTGTCCTTGTTAAGAAAAGTGATGAAATCATGACAAGAAAAAAAGAAGGAAAAAAAAAAAGACACGAACCCCAACAGTAACACTGAAGAATCACAAAAATCAACGTTAAAATTATTAATAACCTTGTGCTTCCACTATCCACTCTCTAAACAACCAAACAGAGTCCACAGAAAACAGTGATGAAAAATCACAAAAACAAGAACCACCCCACCCCAAGGGAAAAAAACGAAGAAGACGAACCCCATCATTGAAAAAACATGAAATGAACGTTAAAACTTAAAAGCATTACAGGGTCCCCTTAAAACTGTGATCACATCACAACCAAAAAAAAAAAAACAGATAAACCCCATCACTAAAAAAACTCAAAAACAACGTTAAAATCATTAACAACGCCAACCCACTATTCTAGGAACAAGTAAAGCAAGCAAACCCATTAAAAACTCTCAAAATAGAAAAAGTGGGGTATTGATAAAAATTAAAAATTGGTAAAAGAGAGAGAGCAAAACCTGTGAAAGGACTCGAATTTTTTCAAGCTTGTCAACGAAGGTGGTGCCAACCTCTCTCTGCAAAATGTCTTTGAGAAGGTTTCCCAACAATCTACAGTCATCATCGAAGAGATGGAATGAGATTTCCTCCGCTATGTCGTCAGTGATGTCCGTCATCGTTACTTGCCACTCAACCAAAAACTAACACACAGAAGAGAAGAACAAATACGAAAGAAGAAGAAGAAGAAAGAGAAGGAGTGTGTGTGTGTGTGTGGTGTTTGATGAGTAAGAATGGAAGAGAAGAAAGTGGCATATAATAAGGTGGCAAAGCATAACTAACATGCGCGAACAAAGCTAGAACCGTTGTGAAATTGTGACTTTCCCATGTCCCACCAAAATTGTAAGAGCATTTTACTTGGTCAATTCTATTTCTGTTCCATTTTGGTCTTTGTCTTGCTTCGCCAATAAAAATCAAACTCCAATGTTTTCGGATTATGCGCTGCGGGGAGACATCTTCACCTTCTCAAAACTACTTTCATTGGAAATCAATGATAGATTAGCAATGTGCATGAGCTGTAGGTGAAACACCAATCTATAATTCAAAAGAGTAATAAAAAAATAAAAGTATGTCTTATCAAAATTAGGGGATTCAGGGTTTTCATTGAATTGGATTGGATTTATGGGAAGAATTCGAAATTTAAAGTACACAAATTAAATTGGGTTGAATTGATTTAGATTTGTTTGATTGAGTATTTTTTTTTTTTTTTTCATTTCAAATCTAAAATGAATGTGAGTCCCTTCTCATGAGATATTCTTCCTACCTCGTAAATGAAGGGCATTAGACTTTGGGACCATTACTCGTACATGGTGTTACCATTAATAACATCTAGACAATCCTTTTTTAAACAAATTTTTAAAAATATCCGCCAATAAATTGAATTGTCTAATATTCATTGAAGGTTTAACATAAAATAAAGGTACCTTGAAAAAGGATAAAATCTTTTATTATTAAGTATATGTGGTGAAACTTCCATACTTAATGGTTAGACCAAAATTTTTTCCTCTAATGTAATAATTGACTGCATCACATTGTGGAAGTATCAACTAACTCTTTCATCATATTGATGAAAAAAGAATGATATCGTTCTATTTTTTCCATCTGACCTAAAATATGTAAAAACCTTGTCACTTGCTCTTCTACTATTGAGTGTATAGTATTTTTAACAATTATTGTACCTTTTAGTTTATGACACAAATGGGTGAACTAGATAATTCATTAACTTATGACATCTCTAGTCTCTTATCATAATTATTAAGAGAAATTTTTACTCTTGACAATAGAAATTACATGACATGTAATGCATGTCCAACATAATACAATAAAATTATTGTAGCTATTTTCATCCTTTTATTCAACTTGTGTTGATCATGACTTAATATTGACATATTCAAATCCATTCAATTATTTATTATTTCCTCTTCATCCAACATGTCATTGTCATGTTTGTTATTCGTGCATTGCACAAATCTTCTTACCAATTAGGTATGTCAGTGACCATTTAAATTTAAACATACGATTAATTAAACTTTACATAAATAAGATATAATGTCTCAATAATCTAACATAATCACTCATTTATTTACTACTTAACATAATATACATAGATTTAAAATACAAATAGAATTAATGGCCAAACTATGGGCTCTTAGTCTAGCTTATTATTGGAGGGAAGGAAATATGTGCGTAGACATGCTTGTTAAGATGGGACCTAATTCTAGGATTGCACTTATGGAACTCGAAAATCCTCTAATTGTGTTAGAGGCCCAGCTCTTTGTTGATGCATGGGTCTCCCCGTGCTACGGGAGTAGTTGTTTTTGTCTTTCTTTTCCTCTTGTTGGCATTACAGTATAAAAAAAATGACTTAAAATAAAAATAAATAAATAAATAAAATGTGATAGAATAATTTATACAACTAAATATAAAATATGTGCATCATTTCAACCATCTTAATACTAAGGTAAGAGAATAGTTAAAGATGTGTTCTTTACATCCGCGAGTTATGGTATCTCAATATATAATATTGAAACCTATGAGGCAAGAGAATATTTACATAGTATGAAGTTACTATTAGTGAACTCGTAAAGATAGTATGAAACTACTATTCACTTTTTTATATGCAATAAAATTTTTACATCCTAAATTTTAATCTATTTTTTTTAGAATTTTAACATCTATGATTAATCTATAATATTCTCTAACCAACAAATCAATTCTTCCATCAATATTTCAAACACACTATTATGCATGCATTTGTAGGTCTATATAGTTATTATATGAATGTGCAAAAAACAAACCAAAATAAGTTAAAATAAATGTAGATTTGTACTTATATAGATGATGAACAAAAGTTGTGGATGAAGTTGAATCAAAGAAATGCCAACAACAAAAACCATAACAAATTGCTCGTTGGATGCAAAAGCAAAAGATGAAGTCAGTTGGTGAAGCAAAAAGGAAGAACAAAAGTTGGAGATGAAGATGAACACGAGAGCATGCCTGATTAAAATACCCTTTACGAGAGCTTCTCACCTTCACAAATACTCATAGGATCCATAAGTGATAATGTGGATTCACGAGAGCTTGTGGAATACCCTTCACGTAGCTTCTCGCCTTCATGTTCAAACCTTCTCACCTTGATAGGCCCAAAAGATACACTAAATCACCAGCTTGGATGAGAGACTATATCTAATGCATAGGCTAGCCCAATTATTCCTTTTTTGTTTCAGTTGTTTTTTTAGAATAATTTCCAACCCTTGATCTTACAAGACTAGTGTCCATTAGATATTTTCTAAGCACCTATATATGTACGCTCGGGTTAATTGAATGGGCAGAGAATATCATTTTCCTGAATTAGCTTTTCTTTATTTAGTAATACTAGTGTAGCCCTAGCTCTCATCAACTTGAATCCTATCATTGGTGCTTTCCTTGTTGCCGCTCATGCCTCCTCGAAAGGAAACCAACCCAAAGCCGACCGATGAGGCTATTTTGGCACTCACAGAGAAGCTTAATGCTCTCCAATCCCAGTTGGACCTTCAACACCAAACCTAAGAGTCTCGTCATGATTCCCTCACCACACTCATGGCCATATTTTTGGAACATTTTCCCCAACATATTCACCCACCCGATCCCTCACCTTCTATATCCCTTCCCATACCTTCACCTTCACCACATTCCTCCCTATCCTTTCCCACAATACCGTCTATTTTCACATCTCAAACCCTCCCACTGCATATCCACAAAACTCATTTCCCACAACTATTCCCTCCCTCCAACCTTTAGGTATTCCCCACCCTCCTAACCACCACCAACCATACCCCACCATTATTCGTCCCCCTAAACTACAGCTAGCTATGTTTAATGGTCAAGACCCACTTGATTGGCTTTTTCAAGTTGATCAATATTTCATTCTCTATCAAGTTCCTTGGGAGCAGGGTGTGTCTCTTGCTGCTTTTTATATGTGTGGTGATGCCCTCGCATGGTTCAAATGGATGTTTTACAATCAACAGTTGGGTGATTGGCTATCATTTAGTCATGCATTGGAAGTCCGTTTTGGTCCTTCTTCATATGAAAACCCTCAGGCCACCTTATTCAAATTAAAGCAAATAGGTACTATTACTGATTATCAGACTGCTTTTGAAAAATTGAATAACCAAGTATTAGGTGTAGACCCAGTTGTTATTCGAAATTGTTTCATATCTGGCCTTTCACTGGACATTCAAAAAGAGTTGGCTATTTTAAAACCCCAAATTGTGTCCCAGGCCATGGGCTTTGCTAAATTGGTAGAGGACAAATTGAAGGATCTATGCCCTAAACCTTTCTGTTCCCATACCTATTCTTCCACCACCACCACCTCTTCTTCTAAAATACCTTCCACCAACACACCACAAAATTCCCCTACCCTTACCCCAAATACACTACCCGTCAAATGCCTTTCCACCCAACAAATGCAAGAACGTCGTACTGCTGGTTTATGCTACAATTTTGATGAAAAGTTTTTTCCCGGGCATAAATGTTCTTCCCCTCGATTCCTTCTTTTACTTCATGATGAGGTAGAAACCCTTGATCCAAATTTCCAACCTGAATCTGAGACTTTACCAACTGACCCACCCCTACATTTTCATTTATCCCCACAAGCACTCACGAGTTTACCATCCCCTCAAACCCTCAAATTCCATGGTACCATCAATGGACAGTGAGTCATGGTGTTAATTAATATTGGGAGTTCCCACAATATAATCCAACCTCGCCTAGCTAAACATTTATATTTATCCACTCAACCCACTCCCCCTTTTAAGGTAATGGTTGGCAATGGCGCCCACATTCTTTGCCAAGACTACTGCCCCCAGGTTGCCATATCCTTTCAACAACAGACCTTTCAGGTACCCTTATACCTCTTTCTCATTGAGGGGGTTGATGTAGTTTTAGGCTTGGCTTGGTTACGCACCTTAGGTCCTGTTCAGGCAGATTTTTTGATCCCTTCCTTCACCTTTAATCACCATTCTATGCCTATTACTATTACGGGTGAGACCCTTCATAACCCCACCCAAGCTTCTTTCCATCAAGTTTGCCAATTACTTCATCAATATTTCATTGCCTCTTTTCACCTTTTAACCATAAGCTCGGTTACTACCCCACCAACTTTTTCCACTAACACTCACCCTTCCCCTACCGAACCTCTTCCATTTTTTCAATAGGGACTATCCACCCTCCTCCAAAATTTTTCTCAAATATTCCAACAACCTCACAGCCTTCCCCCATCCCAACCCCACGACCATCACATTCCATTAATTGCTTCCTCAAATCCTGTCAATATCAAACCATATCGTTACCCACACTCTCAAAAAGACACCATGACCTCCCTTATTTCCCCTATGCTTCATGACGGGATTATCAAACCCAACACTAGCCTGTTTTCCTCCCTAGTGCTACTTGTTAAAAAGAAGGATGGAACATGGCATTTTTTGTTGATTAGCAGGCTCTTAATGCGATTACTATTCATGATCATTTCCCTATTCCTACAATAGACGAGTTGCTTGATGAGCTTGGGGCTGCTCGAGTATTTTCTAAAATTCATTTGCATTCAGGTTATCACCAAATACGAGTTGCTCCCTCTTATACTTAAAAAACAGTTTTTAGGACATTTGATGGCCATATTATGAATTTTTGGTGATGCCTTTTGGATTGTCAAATGCTCCTTCCACTTTTCAGGCAACCATGAATGATTTACTCATACCATATTTACGAAAAATTTGTTTTAGTTTTTTTTTTATTTTATGATATTTTGGTCTATAGTGAATCATTTGATAGCCATCTTACTCATTTGCACATTATTCTCAATTTGTTACTTTCTAATCAGTTTTATGCCAAATTATCTAAGTGTGAGTTTGGTGTGACTTATATTAAGTATTTAG